TGGAAATCCTGACAAGGACCAGGACATCGCTTAGACCGGTCGTAGGGGGTGACGAAAGGCCTTACCCGAGGCGTTGTAGAACCGGTCGGCCCCCCACCTCCACAGGTATATATTGCATTTTTTAATATTTTTTTCTTAAAAAAATAAAGAACAATTTTTGCATATACATGCATATATTATTTAAGTTTCTGATCTTATATGATTTAGTCTTCCAAATATTTGACTCTGATGTGTTTTGAGACTGAAGTATAGAAAGACAAAAGGTTTGAAGTATTGAATCATACAAGTTCAAGGGCTAAATAGTTAGTTGAGAATGAGCGAATTTGAATTAATATTTTCTGCCTTTTAAATATATATTTATGGTATTTGGAGAAGCGGTTCTGATCTTACCAGCAACATGGTTGGTGTGGTTGTGAATAGATCCACTGACTGAGAGTAGAATTGAAAAGCCACATCCTGTATACGTGCCTCGTGATGAAGCATTCGAAGAAATCAAGCAGGATACTTTCTCTGCTGGAAGGGTGAAAGCTCTGTTCCACAATCTTATTCCTTTGCTTGCTGCAACGCTGTCAAGTTCAGACATTCCATTTAACTGCTTTTCCGAGATTGACAAGCTTTATATTGATGGAGTTGTTCTGAGAGGTGAAGAGCATAAAAACATGTTAGAGAATCTATTATTGGGCAAGATGATGAAACAGGTCGTCAGTGTTGGAGAAAGATTGTTAAAATATGACATCCCAGCTGTTATAAAGAGTATGTTACTTCTGCTAGTTCCGTTTCTAGTTTCATGAGTGATGTTAATATGAGATTCATTCATTCATGTTAGTGAGTACGTCTACTTTAACAAGTCTGAAAAACACATTCTCGTCATCCGTACTAGTTTTTATACCTGTTCAGGGGATAGATTCTCTTGGCTGCGAGACAACGAATTTGCAAGGCAGACTCTCGCTGGGGTGAATCCAGTAAATATTGAGTTGTTGAATGTAATATTTATAATAACAATCAATGGTTACTGATGTTTTCATTTGTTTGTTAGCAATACCGTTAATAATTTCTTTGTTACTTGTCTTCCACAGGAATTTCCTATTCGCAGCAAACTAGATCCTGTTGAGTATGGTCCTTCAGAGTCAGCAATAACCAAGGAACTACTGGAACAAGAAATTGGAGGAATGAGCTTGGAAAAGGTTTCTGTTTTTCTAGTTTCGCCTGACTTGTTCTATTTAATAGAAGTTCAAACCCCATTATCTTCTACCTCTTATTTTTATATTGGCAGGCTATTGAGGAAAAAAGACTATTTATCCTAGACTTCCACGACATGCTTTTGCCTTTTATCAAGAAGATGAACTCTTTGCCTGGGAGGAAAGCCTATGCCTCAAGGACAATTCTCTTCCATAGTCCCAAGTGTATTCTGCGGCCTATTGCTATTGAGCTTTCTCTTCCTCCAACACCATCATCACCAGGGAATAAGCGGGTTTATACACATGGCCATGATGCTACAGCACACTGGATTTGGAAGTTAGCAAAAGCTCATGTTTGCTCTAATGATGCTGGTATCCATCAACTAGTAAATCACTGGTAAGACAACACAAAAAGCTGATTTCGAACAGTATGGAAAAACTCCAAAATACATCGTATCTATAGTGCTTCTACAATTGTAAAAGTTCATGATAATTCTGAATGAATTTACCTTTTAAATTTAGTTATTCAGCAGAGAAAGTGGACATTGTCATAATGGGCTGAAATGAAGATGTTTCGGTACTTGTTAATGTGCAGGTTAAGGACTCATGCATGCATGGAGCCATATATAATTGCCACTCATAGACAGCTAAGCTCAATGCACCCCATTTACAAGCTGCTACATCCTCATATGCGCTACACACTGGAAATTAATGCACTAGCACGACAGAATCTAATAAATGGAGGGGGAATAATTGAGGCTTCCTTCAGTCCAGGAAAGTATGCAATGGAGCTTAGCTCAGCAGCCTACAAGAATATGTGGCGGTTTGATATGGAGTCACTTCCAGCAGATCTTATTCGAAGGTAAACTTTGCTTGTATCGCTAATTCAATGACAAAAACTCCTAGCTTTCAAATTTTCCCCTGTTGTCTCTTTTTTGCTAGCTCACTAATAGGTTTTTCTGTGTCCAATGTGTTTCTATTCTTTCTTCTAGTTTTATTTCCAACTATTCCTGTGGATCTCAAATACAAGACATTGGAAGGAAGGTTTCTTCGTCCCAAAATATAAAACATAAGGGGTCTGTTTGGTGCATTAAATATTTTAACCCTAATTATGAATCTTTCACAAAAATAAGAAGAGTGATTTCCAAAGCATGAGAAAGACTTATAGGGAGAAATTAATCATTTGGCTAGAAGGGGTAAGTGTGGAAAGAATTTTGTTTCAGGACAAATTTAATGACAAAAAACTGTCTCCAACCAATTTCCTTGGTATGTGTAAATTAGTTGCAGTATCTTGTATTTGAGACCAAAGGGAATACGACATTGACAATACCAGTGGCATATTGATTCTTTTTCTTTTGTTCCTAGGGGAATGGCTGTAGAAGACCCTTCAATGCCATGTGGTGTAAAACTGGTGATTGAAGACTACCCCTACGCTGCAGATGGACTCCTAATTTGGTCTGCCATAAAAGAATGGGTAGAGTCATATGTTGAGCACTTTTATTCTGACTCAAATTCTATCACATCTGATTTCGAGCTCCAAGCATGGTGGAATGAAATTAAACATAAGGGTCATCACGACAAAAGGAATGAGCCCTGGTGGCCTAAACTCGAGAGCAAAGAGGATCTCTCTGGCATACTTTCCACGATGATTTGGGTAGCGTCAGGTCAACATGCTGCAATAAACTTTGGACAATACCCTTTTGGAGGGTATGTGCCTAATCGTCCTACCCTAATGAGGAAACTCATTCCCCAAGAAAATGAACCTCATTATGAGAAGTTAATTCAAAATCCTCAGCACTTTTTCTTATCATCATTGCCTACTCAACTTCAAGCTACCAAAATAATGGCAGTTCAGGACACATTGTCCACTCATTCCCCTGATGAAGAGTATTTAGGTCAATTGAATCCATTGCATACTCACTGGATCAATGACCAAGAGATCCATAAATTGTTTAGTGTATTCTCTGCTAGACTTGAGGAGATAGAAGATATAATCAATGCAAGAAACAAAGACGTCCGTCTAAAGAACAGAAGTGGTGCTGGCGTTCCTCCTTATGAACTATTGCTTCGGTCATCAGGACCAGGGGTAACAGGTCGTGGAATTCCCAATAGCATATCTATTTGATTTCTCGTTAGCGCAAGTATTGAAACCTGGACTGAACTGGCTGGTCGGACTAGTGACCTAGTCACCGGACCAGTCTGGTCAACCAATGAAAATGGGAATTAATTGACTTGGGATCAACGTGATTTATTTGGGATTAACCTAGTGCAACCCGTCAATCATTTGGATTGAACAGGTCAATTGGATTGGATTTTACATAATTTTTCCCCTTTGCTGAGCCTGGAACAACATTGTATTGAGTGGGGAAAAGAAAATAGAAGCTCATCGTATTTGTGATTTAGTGACTCTATTTTGTTAGATTATATGTGTCTTATGTATGAATGTTTCAATTACTTGTAATTAATGCCTTTTTTATTTAAATATTGCTTTTTATGGTTATATATAAATATTTTTGTTTATTTTAACTAAACTGTATTATTCTAATTATGATTAATTCGACCTCAATCCTACTCCGATTAGATTGCTAACCCTCATATTATTGCTTTGATTGGTTTGGTGACTAGTTTGATTCTCAATACCTTGATTGTTGCTTCTATCTCATTTTGTTGGCAGAAAAATTGTAGATGTAAGCATGCATATCTATTTTTATTTGTGATTTACTGTTTTGTTCTCTGCTTACAAGATGCAAGAATATATATTAAAAATTAAAATTACAAAAAAGAAAATAGAAATAGTTAAGGTGATAACAATATGCTGATAAAAATGAAACCCATTCCTCTTTTTAAAATTTACGTCTCTCAATCAATGATTCATAATTATTCATAAAACAACATAATGTATCAAGTTATAGTAGCCAAGCAGAAACTATTCTTCATGGAAATGATGTCATACACTTAGAGTTATTCTTGAATCTTCTTCCATAAGTGATCACCAAAAAAAAAAAAAAAATCCACTTGTTTACAAGACCACAGTTCACTCTGAAGTGGGAACATCACCCTCTTACTTTCACAAAATATAGGCAGTAAAAGATTGGGACCTAAATTTATGCATGCTCAGGTGGCATGAGGGTCCTGATTTCTTTCGCCCAAATATTTTATATTTGACGACACGGTGAAGAGAATAAATTAAGTTCTTCTCAATATAAACTTCTATTTTCTCGAAATAAAGATAAAACGTCCAGCTCCAATTCATTAATCCAGCCCAAGCCCAAGCCCAAGCCCAAGCCCAGTAGTCAGCCTAATAGCCTTTAGTCTGTTATGAAATTTGTAAATACGTGTTGTATATTGCTTCCTTAGAATATTGTAGAAGGTGTATGGTGGCACACTCTCATTGGTTGTATTGTACCAGCTAGTAGTTACAGTGTATATAATACTACTTTTAATCTTTAATAAAAGAGCTAGTTTACTAATTTAAATAGGTTAAAGAATTAGTTAATTTAATTATTTATAATAAATATTTGTTATCTTCTCTAAATATTCTTGCTAATCAAGTATATTAATTATAATTACTATTTAATAAAATATTTAATATGTACAACCACTATAAGAACTGTTTTAGAAAAATATAAATAAATATGAGAAATAAAATAAATTAAGATTTTATATTTAAATTCAAATAAAAATGAAATCTCTGAGATGCTATACATTCTTTAGGTTTCTCAAGAATTGAGAGAGGATCTCAGCAATTTTGTATTGCTCTTTTATTTTGAATTCCCGGTGTTCAGGGGACAAAGATAGCGAGAGAAGTTGATGCAATAGGCCATTTTAATTTTAATTCTACTTTAAATATTGTAGAAAGCATGTAAATTGTGGCTCACTAAGTGCGATATCATTTGTTTGTGTCTAATATTCTTGTGGTTGACATTGACATTCCACTACTGTTATTATTTTTTTCCTTTGGATTAAAATTCAAGATGATAAAAATGCATTTTTTAATTTATAAATATTTCATTTTAATCCATTGATTTTATAAAATATTTTTTCTCTTTAATAACAACAAAATACTGACCTTAAAATTTTAAGTAGGGAGAATTTCACTTAATCCTTGTTGAACAAATTTAATTTCCAAAAACCCCCTGCCCATAACATTCAAAAAATCACTGCACCCGTTTTGACTAAAATAAAATTAAAAATTATAAGCGAAGAACAATTATGCCCTCACTTTATTTTTAGTTTTATTTTTAAAAGATCAACCACCGCTGGAGCTTCGACCATTGAAGAATTTTTGTTTAATAAGGTGGTTAATGGAGGTTTGAACTCATGATCTCTTAGCACAATTAAACAAAATGCAAAAAAAAAAAATCTGTAACAAAACAAATACAAGTGTATGATTGTAAATAAACAAGTGAAATTTGATATTTAAAACCAAAATTTAGCGATTTATAAGAAATATAAGAGAATTCATAACCTTTAAATACAAGTGTTTATATGTGAATGAATAAATAAAATTCGGTGATTTGCAACCCAAATTTGATGATTTACAAGAAACATAAAAGAATTCATAACTCTTAAATGCAAGTGTTGATGTGTCATTAAACAAGTAAAATTAAACGATTTATAACCCAAATTCGTTGATTTATATGATAAATAAGAAAATTTATGACCTCAAGTGTAAGTTTAAGATGTGAACGAATAAGTAAAATTTGGCGATTTATAACCCAAGTTTATTGATTTACAAGAAATATAAACATAAAGGAATTCACTTAAGTTTCTTGTAAATCGTCAAATTGGATTGTATATCATTGAATTTTGACTATAAATTGCTAAATTTTATTTGTTTATTTACACTTAGAGACTTGTATTTGCGGTTGTAAATTGTTTTATGTTTCTCGTAAATCATCGAATTTAGATTGTAAATGATTGAATTTCACTAATTCACTTGCATCTAAACACTTGTATTTGAGGGTTGTGAATTCCTTTATGTTTCTTACACATCTTTAAATTTGAATTGTAAATCTCCAAATTTCACTTGTTCATTTAAAGTTAAACACTTCGATTTGTTTTGTCGCATATTTTTACTTGCATCATATGATTAAGTGAACTAGATGGGTTAGTGGTGATAATTTTTTTGGTGTAGTAAGGAGTCATGAGTTTAAACTCTGTTTTGGCCACTTTATTTTTAAAACAAAAAACCTCGGACTACTGGATGTCGGTGGCCATCAGCAAAAAATCGGAGCTCTGCAGTGGTTGATCATTTTTTTCAAAAAAATAAGAAATAATGCGAAATCATAATGCCTATATATATATATATATATATATATTGGCCAATGCTGCTACTTCATTGGTAGGCAAATATAAGCAATATTACAAAATTCAATTACTATCTTCAATTTTTAATATAATGACTAGTTTGATATTTAATTTAGTCTTAAATATGAGATCTCAATTCACTTTATCTTAATATTTATCTATTTTGTCCTTAAGTAATTTTTATAGTAGTTGTATATATTAAGAAGTTACTATTAATAGCTAATTTAAACACATATGATTAATAAATATATTTTAGGGAAGACAACATTTATTTACTACAAATAACTAACTGAACTATCTTACCTAATTTCTTCAAATTAGTCAAATAAATGTTATATTAAGTATGGGAGTAGTAATATTCAAGGTTGTGCTTACAAAAATATTCTATGTAATTATCAGTTCAACTATTCACTTATTGCCAAAATGATGCCAATTGTATTTCTTATTGTTTCCTTCAGGCGAGACGTTGAGTTCCAAATCCCCAACACTGATAAGTGATCCACGGAAAATCTATGAAGGGAAAAGAAGGTGAAATGCTGTGGGTTCAAAATCCCCGACATTGATAAGTGACCCCCGAAATCCATGAATGGAAGAGAAGAAAGTTACTGTTAATCCAAGAAGTACTTTTTTTAAAAAAAAACATATTTCTAACATTCTTTTATCTAGCATCTTAGAATATTTTTACAAATACTTAAAGCCTTTAAAATATTTAATAATTGATTTAGCATTTTAAAATATTTTTTTTGCGTTAAACACCATAAATACCTGAACTCTAAGTTCCAAATAAAGTATTATACACACTTAAAAAAACTAAATAAATTACAGAATATTTTACAGTGACAATGTCCTTGAAAAAAAATTCGAAGTGCTTAAAAAGAACAAAAATAGAGTTCTAACTTCTAAGCAACGGTCACTTTTACGCACGTCTGGGCCTCGAAATTTCTGGGTCCATTAAAAGGTGTAAGCCACGCGTCACCACAAGACGGAGACAACTAAGGAAGCTCACAATTTCGCGAAACACCTTATATTTCTCTTACGATGCCTGGAGATTTGAGGAAGCAGACTAAGGGTGTGTTTGGTTTGAGGGGAGGGGAGGGGAGGGAGGGAGGGAGGGAGAGGTAGGGGAGGGGAAGGGAGATTTTATCCTCACCTATTTGGTTGATTAAAAAGGAGGGGAGGGGAGGGTATTTAATGATTCCTTATTTGGTTCAAGGGAGGGGAGAGGAGGGATAGTAATAATCAATTACTATTTTACCCTCACATATTAGTTTATGTTTTTTATTGATATATTATATAAATTAATTTACATCTTAATTTAATATATAATTTAATAAAAATTCAGTCTTATCATTTAATAGTGTATTAAAAAAATGGTATAGTAATTTTTTATTCTAATTAATATAATAATAGATTTAAAATAATCAATTTAAACAAATTTTATATGCTCTAAGAAAAATGAAATTTTATTTTCTTTAGGCTATCTTTTTTTCAAAATTTAAAATATATTTTAATAAATAATATATTTATAAAAACAAATAATTTTTTATTTATAAAATATTTTATAATATATTTTTAATTATAATAATGTATATATTTTTTATTTTTTTATTTAGGATAATATATTTTTATTTGAAATAATATTATAATAATAATTTATGGGTCGAAGTGGAAATATTAAAAAAATTATAAGGGCATAATGATCCAAACTTTTAACTCCCCTCCAAAACTCCTAATTTGAAGAGAAGCAAAAATGGAGAGGGGAGGGGAGGGGACATTTTAGCTCCCCTACCAAAAATTTTAACCAGATGAAACTAGACAGAGAGGGAAGAATTCAGCAACTTCGGCGTCCACCACCAACTTCTAGCGACAATGCATGCCATTATTCGTCACATATAACGGTGATATTTCATCCGCCGATTTGATTCCATGAATCATGGCCAATCTCGATTCAGAACCAGAGCAAGTTCCTTATTTGACGCCCCTTCTCGCTTCAAGTTCAAATCCGAATCAAAACGGCATTGAAGTAGATGAAGCACAACAAGAAGAGAATGATGAAGAGGTTCGACTGGATCAAACACTTCGACGTTTGGAAACGTTTCTCACTGTACTTGGGTTCAATCAGTCTTCGGTGTTAGGCTTTGCTCTGTCTTGGAGTGCGTTCATGGCTATTGG